AAAGGGGAAAACGACACGAGGGTAAAAAAAGACAAGGAAAACTTATCTACCAGCTACCATGTCGGATGCCGAGCAGCGGCAACAACCCAAGCTATAAATCCGGACAGGAAAAAAAAGCAGGCGATCCAGCAGAGCTCGCTAAATTTCATCTTCACTCGAGGCGGAGAGAAATTAAGAGTGATGGACGGCTACCTGTGGCGTTGCCAGGTGGCCTCGGTCACGTGGGTTCGTGACGTAAGGGGTAAAAGAATCTTGAGGTCATGGGGCTTCCCCTGACCTGGATTCTATCTCTCCGTCACCGGCAGAATCGCTGATTAATGCCTACAGTTCAAAATAGTCATTTTGACTGACTGGAGTCTATGGTGGGTAATTGAACGTAGTGAATTTCACAATACCAGTTAAAACAAGTGGTCAAACGACGATGTTGCACTGTGCTTGTTAATTAGCTGGTTTGATTCAACTGTCATTCAAATTTATAAATTTTGTTGCGCCGAGAATACTATTTCCATTTTAAAGGAAATGCAATATCGTACTACTTACTTGTACAAATCTACAAGTTGATCATCAAGCGCTTCAACAGTGGCAAACAGATCTGAATAAAGAGAAAATCAAAATACAATGTATTAAAAAATTAGATCTTTCTTTAATAATAAATGGTTGTTGCTTTAGGCTTTTTATTTATTGCCAGTGTGTATATCCACCTGGGAATAAATACTAAAAGGGATCAACTCTGAGTGTGACCACGGGAAAGTGTCTACATAGGAAACATCAATTATTGGAGGTAAATTTAATACTGTAACAAAAAAAATGTCATCACCTACACTAGCAATTGAGCCAGAGTCTTTTTATTCTACATGTATGTACTTATTTAACCAATGGGATGTGCAAACCACGTTTTTACCCATATACTCAAGACACACATAAACTGAACTTTTTTGAGATCTAATACTGATGACAAGATAACCATGATTGAAAATGATCAAGTTATTGTGGCATAAGAAAATTGTTAATGACAATGACCTTTTACCTGTAATATACCATGAAAATTAGGCAGAGGAAAAGCTGTCAATCCTTATTAATAATCTTATACAGAACACTTCTATAGACCGAACAATTTTTTTTGTAAAATACTTTATTTTCACCATTTTCACTGAAGGAGTGATTCAGTGAAAATAAAATCCAGCAAATATACCTATTCCCCTATAATTTACATTCAACTTATTAAAAGTCAGTGAAAATTCCATACAAAACACCTAACATTAATTCCTGCTAAAATAAAGTATTTTACAGTAATTCATAAATTCTTACCTCTTTTCCCAGTCCAGACATTTAGTTCCTGAGATAACTCAGGTATAATGAGAAAAGTCCTCCATCCTCTTTCCTTTTTTGACTTTAAAATATCTCCAAAGATGTGATCTCCAATGTAAAGAACATCACGCCCTGTAGCACCCATCAGCTGACAGAACCCATCACAGGAGCCACCAGAGTATATCTGCCCTTCTTGTAATGGGCCAACATGTGTACCAATCCGCAATGCACCCGTTCGCTGTAGACATGACAGTTTAAAAACTTGATTGATTTTGCTCAAAATGGTGATGAGAATTGATTGTTGTGAATATCTTAAAATCCTAACATTTTTACATAACTTAGAAGAAGTACTCCACCAATTAAGTTTCAGTTCTAAGAAAAAAATGCTAGACAGATTAGCCTGACTCATTTCCCTGACTTTCAACTTTGAGAGCCTCCAGTTTGAAATAAAAGAAACAGTACTTTTTTCAATACATAATGAAATTGGATTTGTCAAAAGTTATTATCATGTCACCAAACAGATATGTGTACTATAAATACCGTATTTGCTCTATTAGAAGCACATCTCCAAAAGAAACACACCAGAACCAATAATTCATTCATTGTGTACTATTTGTTAAAATATGTATTATTCTGGTCATAGACACGCCTCTGATATGTACGTAAATGCATGCGCTTTTAATTTTTGGAGACGGAGCTATGTCAAAGAACATAGGTTCTATGTTGCTTGGACCACTGTACCATTCATGTCTATGGACTGTAGGCAAGCTGCTGTGAAACACAGGTCAAAGAGCTGCACTTTCAGAGGGTAGTCTTGTGTTACTGTTCCGGATAACGACTAGCTCAAAGTAAACTTTTGTGGGAGTTCTCGACCACTGTTTTTACTGGTGATGGTAATGCCTGGATATTAGCTTCCGACAATAGAGCAAATTGGGTTTACACAAATTGTACAATAGAGTCAAGAATGATAATTTCATTTCTTACTGTGTCTACTTGTCTTAGAATAGTCCCTTCACCAAAGAATAATGGTTTTCTAGCATCAACTATTGCAGCATCAAAGTAACTCCACCACGGCCGATGAGCACTGTCAGGCTGAAAAGAACAGAAATGAAGGTTAATATACCACCATACCATTTGATATTAAAGTTGCATTCTGAGAAGATAGTTCTAGGTTTATTATTTGATAAACTTGATTGTTTAAATATGAATGATTAAGATCTACTCATAACTTTTGGGAAAGTTGGTCATAAATCACTATTTTTAGAACACTTCCATGGAACACAATATTATAGAAAAGTTGCATTTTTTGACACTTTTGAAAACCCAGATTTTTTAAATAAGTCAGAACAAGTACCTAATCATTTGCACTATATGATAGCTGATTAAAATGTAAAATGTCAGCAGTTTGGAATCTTCTTTTCAACTCATTGAAGATATTATTATTATCGAGTTTTAGTGCTAAGAATTATAATGAAACTTACTGTCGGTCCATGTGGATAATCAAATAAATATGTCATTATTGCCTGCAAAATATAAAGCAAAGTCAGAAATCTGGTTGCCAGAGACAAAGATCACTAATATTGATATGTATAGATTGGCCAGGGGTATGCCGATGACTTAACCGACATGCATGAAACTGGAAAACCAACCATCTTATTTAGTCGTCTTTCACAACAAGTTTGTTTAAGTCACTTTGGTTAAGATAAGTTGTACTGTACATGACATTACTAGTCAAGCAATGGTTTCCAGATCTACATGGCAATTGTTTCCATTTTTAATTTAATGTAGCTGAATCAAGCCAAGGTCAGCAGACAGTGACTGATGGTTACATGAAAACCTCATAATACAATATAAATTTTCCATACACTAGCAATAGGTGATTTACCATTCTTTGTGAAATCTTGTGTATTGCATGAAAGACGTTGACAAAAAGTGTGCCTCAAAAATCAATTATTTAATTTGAAACTTCACTATCTTTTATAGCTGCGGAAATGCCCATCTTTCAGAGTGGCATATTGCATTGAGATACTCTTACTTCATCAAAATTAACCATCAACAAATGGGTATTGCACATTATTAACTGGTTATACTTTTGTGATGTTTTGATGTCATTATGACACTATGACCCTTGATTATTCTGTTTTATGATAGAATTCACACATACTGTGGGATCTTGCAGTTAACAGATCAAGTAAATGACCTACTGTAAAGGGGTTAATTATTCACTGGGTTTTAATTTTGCTTATTTCGCTGACTGGAAAATGCGCTAAATTAAAACCCAGTGAATATGTAAAATTTAGCATAGAACACATTATCTAAATGACAAAACCGTGAATTTAAAACCCACTGAATACGCCTGAAATGATAAATCAGTGAAATTAAAACCCAGTAAAAATTAGTCATTTTACAGTATTAAACATAATGTTAATTCTCAGAATGACAAATTTGGTATTTTGCTGCAATGTATTTGTGGAAATGCACAGAAAATAATACTTATTTTCAGCTGGAATTAATTTTTTGCTAAAAAGATTTATTGAAGGTTTATTTTCACTGATTTTTGATGAGTTGAATGAAAAATATATGTATAGAAAAAACGGTCAGATTTTATTTTCATTGAATCTTCCATTCAATTGCCACCGCCCATGGCATGGCATATTTACTCAATATGTACCACAGAGGCATTGCTGGATAAAAATGATAACTCACTTGTGTATAACTATAATCACTATTTGTTATTAGGAATACTTTTCTTCCTGTTTCTTTTAACCTGAAAACATATTCAAATAATTTAGTTAGAATGCATATACACTGACTGGTTGGTCTACTTTGACCAAATGTAGTCTTGTGAAACTTTACCAAATTTGCATATGATTTGTATAATTATTCTACCAAACATTATGATGGTTAACATACTCAATAAAACACACATGGTTATTCACTTACACAACGCTATTGCATCATGAATATATAAGTGACAGTTACAGTCAAATAATATTTTGAATTATGAATCTTACTAGTATATATTTTAATAAAATGGGCACCAGAGTAGGGATTAACACTAAAAAAAAATCACAAAGTTACTGTTGCTATGACAACAAGTTTGGGTACTGGTACTTATTCTTTACAATTGCTCTTTTTTTATTTAGTTGAGGAAGCCATTTTCTCAGTAAAAATTTCTACTGCTTTTAAATTCTCTGCATTTTAACTAGTGAGCCACATCTATTCATGTAAACTGCTGTGTCAAAATAATTAATAAATCGTTAGTGTTATAAAGTTTGTGCACCTAAATATAGCCTCCAATATAACCAAAACAGATTTTTTTTCCTCCCTTACATTTGTCTCTATAGAAGACGTGCTACTAATAAGTCGAATACAATGAGCCATTTAGATCTTACCTGTGCATTAACATTGGTAGTCTGGCATCTTTTATAACATAGTGTTCAATGTTATTCAGTGTATCTTGCTTTAGGGTGCCCTAAAATCAATAAAATTTAAAATAAAATTTAATAATTAAAATTTAATAAATAAATAAATAAAATTAAAATTAAATTTACTCTTGACATAAACATTTATTTTGGTGTGAACTCCCTTCCAAGCAAACAAAAGTGGCTGAAGATCATTTAACCTTTTTACCACCTGTTCCCTTTTTTTGTCACAAATTCACAAAATAGTCCTATTTTTAGTCTGCCCTTTTCTCTTAGAAAATTGGGACAAAAATAGCAAAATTTTTTGAGTAAAAACTAAAAGTTGAATAAAATTTTGTCCGTTGGCTCTAAAATTAGGGTTCATTTCCAGACATATTGAAGAAAATAAGAAAAAAGTGCCAATCTGGGCGAGAAAGTCTGGCAGTGAAAAGCTTAACATTGTAATGTAACCATAGTATGGTTAAAGAATGTAGGAATACATTTCTAGCAGCTCTACATGAGTACCTGAGTACTAACATATTCCATGGAAGATTTTTTTTACAAATACTGTGGAATACTTTATTTTCGCTGGAATTAATTTTCGCTGAAAAGGCTTTTTGGGCGTTTTGTATGGAATTTATTTTTACTGATTTTTGATGAGTTTAATGTGAAATATAGGAAAAAAAGTATATTCGCTGGATTTTATTTTCACGGATTCTTCCCTTTAGCGAAAATAAATTCCAAGTGAAAATAAAGTATTCTACAGTAAACGTTTATTTATATCTTTTTTTTACTCCTAGATTTATTTTAGTTTGCTATTGTGTGGTATGTTACTGTATTTTTGAGGCTTATTGCAGGAATATATTTCTAGCAGATCTATATGTGTACCAGAGTACCAACACATTTCCATGGAAGATTTGTCATCAATATTTTCTCCTATAAAGATATGTTTTTTATAACATTGTGGCAAATCTTTTTTTACTAAATCCTATTTATTTTAGTTTGTTATTGTTTGGAATGTTACTGTATTTTTGAGGCTTATTGGACTTTGCCAACTGTGTATTGTGTACATTCCAAATAAAACATCCTATTCTTTGTATTGCTTGTCTGTAAACCCAAACAGATGGCAAACACCTACACTAGCCGTGTATTGCCTGTAGAGAAGAAGTGCCACCAATCTTGCAGTGTACTACTACTCATTGTGACAGGAACCGCAAATAACAATGACTTTGTGTTCTCTTTTTGTTTACTGTTGATTATGCGCCACATGAATTGAAGCCAGAAACACTGGTGATTACAAAATATGAATATTACCTTGTCATGAACCCAATCTACTGCTGCTCGAACATCTTGATGTATGCCTTTCCATGTCATGAATAGATCACCATGAGAGACACCACATTTATTTGGCACGTATTGCTCAGAGGTGGAAAAGAAATCAACTAAACAAGCTAACAAGTAGGTTTCTGAAATATTAAATTTAATAGTTAATAGCTCATATGAAAAGAGGAGAGGACACTACAATGCAATTAGTTTATGAATGTATGAATGTATGATTGTTCTCAAAAGAATATACATGTATGTATACCAGATGTATATACACAGATCTCAATCTACTACATGTACTTTATTAATAAAGACTACACAGTAGTAGTACTTTTATTTTACTTCAGTTTTACATCAATTACAATGAAACAGAGAATGATGACATCAATTACAAGGAAACACAAAGAACGATAACATCAAAAAACTCCTGATAACAAAAGAACAAAATGAGTCCTTAATAGAAATATTCTGGTCTTTCCAAAAAGGAAGATAACTCCTAGTCCCTCTATTGTTTATGTCACATGTTAGGTGTACCATAGAAATACTAAAAAGACTGAGCTGCATTTATTAAATTAGTGATTGCTTGAGATCAATAATTGTAATTTTTTCTAATTTTGTTTTGAATATATATTCACTTTGTGTACAAATTAACACCATTGATGTAGATTTCTTCTATATGACTGCAGGCATAATAGAATATCAATGCAGAGTACAGAGAAGAATATATCAGGCTACTGTTTGAAAATCTATTGTTGTGTTAGGCCAATGTCTGTTCAATCCTTTTTCCATTTCTGTTATAATATAACAAAACAAACTGTTTTGATCTAAAAACTTCACTGGGAAAATGCAGTATTGTACTTTCAGTATCCCAACATTTTCACCATAGAGCGTACATTTTTTAACAATATTTTTAAAGCATTTTTTCATTCTCTGGTCAGGTTAATGAATACATCTTTTTTTCCTTGGACATCATGTTAGCTAGGTGTATATGTAAATTTGTTCCATTTTTAAACCCAATTTTCTGTATGCTTTTTACAACATGTCTTAGTTTCATCAATAGAAATGTTTACATTAAGTCTCTTACCTGGCAAATTGAATAAAGTATTGAGTATGTAAATTCTGTTTTCTGTCTCCTTGGAAACTTGAATAAATTTATTTGGGTAACATTCCTGAATATCAGCTCCAGTTAAAAATTTAAAACCATGAACACAAACCAATATGTTACCATAAGCATCAACCTATTAGAAAAATTAACACGCAATTAAATATATTGTTAAGTTTTCATATAATTTTAAGTGGCATATTTCTTAGTTGTTTCCTATAAGTTTAAAGGTTGAATCAACATGGATTCACTTTCGTTCAGTAGAAATACACAGTTTTAGACAATTATTTTACTATACCAGCTTCAGTTTTGTACTGTACATAATGATTTTGTATTGTAGAAATCAAACCTTCCCTTGAAATTCACAAAATGTTCATTTTAAATAGAAAACATAAATATGGATAAAATATTATTTATATCCCTTTGGTATTTGTACATGCATTTGCAAAATATTTCTGGAGAACAACATACAAACTTGTATATTCAAATCTGATGCAAACAGGCTCACGGTTGAAAAATTGCTTCCCTCTTTCTGTCACAAGTGCGTTCAGTAATGTGGCAATCAAGGAACACACCTGGGAACTCAAAACTTGTCTTTTGTATTACCGTTACCATTTTGAACTAACAATTCACATTATCACATACAATCTCAAGTGTTGTTTAGTTGTGTTTGCTTAGAAGCACATTTCCAATAGAAGTGCATGTGAAAAAACAGCTGTATTTATTGTACATTTGTATACTGGGGTAATTCAAATATGACTTATTATGGTATATATATACCTGTTTATGATTTAAATTAGAATGAGGGAATTAAAAATAAGCTTGTTTTCATAATTTTTTGCTGATACTATCTCAGACCTAAAAATACTGTATGTGTTATCTAGATTATTCGTTGGGTTATTTTTGTTTGTTTTTTTGCTGATAGCTCAAATGTGCTATTTTAAAAAATAAAACCCACCTGAATTAGCAAAATTAACCCTAGAATGTGCTATTTCCTGCACAGAACAGGAACATCTTTAAACTACCAGTAGCTAAAATTAAAGCCACTAAATATTTCTCCTATAATATTTTGGGCACAAATTTGAAAATTTTGCACTATGATAAAAGAGTCACTTAATTTACAATAATAAATTCTATAATGTGTAGGTACGTTTTATATACATGATGCACTGTTGATTTATAGACACAAGTAACATTTGCATCTTGGGTTAAGCCAGAAGTTAATGTCCCTGACACAAAGTTGATTGAATACCACAGTTGGAGGACTTTCACTTCGATTATTCTTATTAAAAGAATGACATTGAGTGAATAGTACATCCTTGAATCTCCAGAATCATTATAATACAATTACAATACTCAGAATCAACCTGCTGAACACTGCATTTTCATTACACTACAAGTATTAAACAGTTACCATACTGAGTATAATCTTAAGGATGGACCACTCAAAATCATTGGGAGGGGGGTTTGGAGGATTCAAATTCCCAGGGGCCATATTTATTGCGATGAATGTGGCATCTGACTGTTTTAGTAATCCTTCAAATTACTTAGATATTTGGTTACAATTTCAATTAGTACCAGTTGGTCTCAGTAATTTATAAGATCAAGTTTGAATCTCCACTCTTTTGAAAATATTGTTTTAATAGTCTTAATATGTCCTTAGATACTAGACTCAAAACAGTACATCACATCATATTTTATTACCCCCCCCCCAATGTTAACTGGTCCATCCCTTAGATGACCTTCCCACCCATTATGCTGTACATCGAGACATTCATTCATTCATTCTATACATGAATGTTCATTTATATATATACAATACACATACAAAGCAACCCAACCCAACCCAGACTTGCATACCCAGACACTCTTTGCATCAATGTGATTGTTGGTGAATTGCCAACAAAATTTGAGCTTTGAGTGAATAATGTAAACTGTTTTCTATTTTCAGCTGCTAAAGATTTTTATGATTTCTTAATTTCAGGGGATTTGTGATGAATAAAAAGTATCTGAGTGTCACAGTGACTACTTGTGTTAAAACAAGTTATTGTTAATGACACAGTTCCTATTGCAAATAGGAGAAACAAGTCATTGAAAATGTCCCCGTTAAATTTTTGAAAGTTCTCTTTGTGCTTGTCATATTAAAGTGGGGGGTTTTCGCGAGTGTGTCCTTGAAACTTGAGTTCCAAGTAGCGTATACAACAGATTGTTTATTTACATCAAAACACGTGTTTCGTGTAGTAGTAATATGGCCAAAAATAAAAACAGCCGTTATTTAGCCATCTTTGATCTGATTATGAAACACACTAATATGTATGATGTATGTGTCAAATACGAATAAAAATGGTACATAAATTAGAAAGGCCAAAAAGTCAGATTGCTGTCAATCGGCCATCCTTGACCAGATTTTGAAACAAATGTCATGGACATGCATCCTAACATGTATAAAGTACATGTATGTGCCAAATTTGAATGAAAACTGACAGAGCACTTCCAAGATACCGCAAAAAAACCAAAAAAAACAAGATGCCTGCCAGTCGACCATCTTTGATCCAATTGCGAAATAAATTGTCATGGACATGTAACCTAACATATATAATCTATGTACCAAGTTTGAATGACAACTGACAAAGCATGTCCAAAATACAACATTTTCAAAAAACAAGATGGCTGCCAGTCAGCCATTTTGAATCGAATTGCTAAACCACTGCATGTGAATATGCCCCACATAAGGTACTAGGCACATGCAAAGAATGAACGGAATCGGTCAACAGGCTTCTGAAATATTACTATTGACAGACTGACGCACGGACGGACGGACAGACTTAGGAACTCACGGATGGTCGGGGACATGTATCCTAACGTGTACAACTAAATACAACATTTTCAAAAAACAAGATGGCTGCCAGTCGGCCATCTTTGATCCAATTATGAAATAAATTGTCATGGACATGTAACCTAACATGTATAATCTATGTACCAAATTTGAATGAAAACTGACAAAACATTTTCAAAAAACAAGATGGCTGCCAGTCGGCCATTTTGAATCGAATC